GATGGTTTGTTGCACGTTTACATTGTGGGTTGATTAAATTAAGTGAATTAACATATCCATCATCTCACTTACCTTTTTTGTGTGTGGCGGAAACATTTAAAATCTTCTCTCCTAGCAATTACGCCTATGGTTTATTTTTCTGAAGTTTTCCTTAAGAAGTTCTCTGCTCTAGGCCACAAAGAGTTTCTCCTACCTTTTTTCTTTTTTTTTTTTTTTTTGAGACGGAGTCTCGCTCTGTCGCCCAGGCTGGAGTGCAGTGGCCAGATCTCAGCTCACTGCAAGCTCCGCCTCCCGGGTTCACGCCATTCTCCGGCCTCAGCCTCCCGAGTAGCTGGGACTACAGGCGCCCGCCACCTCGCCCGGCTAAGTTTTCATATTTTTTAGTAGAGACGGGGTTTCACCGTGTCAGCCAGGACGGTCTCGATCTCCTGACCTCGTGATCCGCCCGTCTCGGCCTCCCAAAGTGCTGGGATTACAGGCTTGAGCCACCGCGCCCGGCCTCTCCTACCTTTTTTCTATGTTCCAGTCTTACATTTCACATTTTAGTTTTTAATATACTTGGAGTCCACCTCTATATGTGGTATTAGGAAGTGATACAATTTTATTTTTCTCTATAGTGAGCCAGTTTTCCCATAACCATTTTTTTTTTCTTTTTTTGAGACGGGGCTTCGCTCTTTCACTCAAGTTGGAGTGCAATGGTGTGATCTCGGCTCACTGTAACCACCTCCTAGGCTCAAGTGATCTTCCTACCTCAGCCTCCTGAATAGCTGGGACCACAGGCGTGTGCCACCACGCCCAGCTAACTTTTTGTATTTGTTTAGAGATGGGGTTTCGTCACATTGCCCAGGCTGGTCTCGAACTCCTGAGCTCAAGCAATCTGCCCGCCTTGGCCTCCCAAAGTGCTGGGATTACAGGCGTGAGTCACTGTGCCCGACTCCCATCACCATTTGCTAAACAATCATTTTCCCATTGATTTATGGAACTCCCTTTATTATAATAAGTGGCCATATATACATATGCCTGTCTCTGAGCTCTCTGTTTCATTGGTCTATTTGTTCCTGTTTTTATTTCCTACAACTTTGTAGTGTGTCTTAGAGTTTGGTACAGCAAGTCCCTCCTTTGCTTTTCTTTTTAAGGTTGATTTAGCTATCAGTAGACCTTTATTTGTCATATTAATTTCAGAGCATTTAACAAGTTCTTGAAACATTTCAAATGAAATATGAATTGGGAATGCATTAAAATATAATTTAAGCCTGGGCAACATAATGAGACCCCGTCTCTACAAAAAAATAAAAAAAATTAACCAAGTGTGGGGTATTGCACCTGTAGTCCCAGCTACTTGGGAGGCTGAGAATTACTTGAGCCCAGGATGTTGAGGCTGTGGTAAGCCATGATCGTGCCACCGCACTCCAGCCTAGGCAATACAACGAGACCCTGTCTCGAAAAAAAAAAAAAAGAGTGGAGTTGCACCTGTCGACGCAGTGCTGGCGAGTGCAGTGCCGCTCACTCTCGCTCACGCAACCTCCACCTCCTGTCAAGTGATGCTCCTGCCTCAGCCCCCCTAGTAGCTGAGTCCACCCTCGCCACCTAATTCCTGTAATGTTTAGTAGAGACCGGTTTTGCCCACTTGCGCCGCTTGGTCTCAAACTCCCTGTGACTCAGGTGTCCGCCCAAGCCATTGGCTCCCAAAGTGCTAGAGTTTACAGCTGTGATCACCACGTCCCAGCCCAGCATCTCTTTTAATTCGAATAAGCTCCTCAATAAAAAGAGTAAACGGGAAATCTCAGGCCCAAAATTAAGGAAAAACTGAAAAACATGACAGAAAATCATTCTGATACTTCAACGCCCTAATAATCATTTGTAGCTCAGTCCAGAATGATCTTGGGTAACAACAAGGTAGGCAGCAAAAGACAGAGACCCAAATGTTGAAGTGTGGTATTGTTGAAATGAGACCCTGGGACAAAAGCCAGAATTTCTAAAAAATGCTCATTGCTTACGTGAAAAGTGTCAGGAAAGAAGTCTGCCCACCACCAAGAAAATTTGTACTCTAGTAGGGGAAAGAAAAAAAAAAACAAAAACACCCTTCTCGAGAATTTAACCAGTGAGCTATCCTCATATCTGGCTTGGATTCCAATTTATACCGCACTGTTACGCCAGTGAACCCTCAAATTGATAAAATACAAACGTGGAGCGATCCTGGGGCTGGTAATGCTTAGGCAAAAAGAACAAAGATAATTGTAATCTCTCCTGGCAAATTAAAAGCAAGTAGAATTGGCTCAGATGGTGCGGTGGCTCGTGCCTGTAATCCCGAGCACTGTTGGGAGGCTAAGGCAGAGATCACGCGTGCTCCAGGAGTTGAGACCAGCCTGGACAAACATAGTGACCCCTGTCCTACAAAACAAATAAAAATAATTTAAAAAATTAGCTTGGGCGCGCCACGCATGGTGCTCATGCCTGTAATTCCCGCACTTTGGGAGGGCGGGGGGGAGGCCGGCGACAATCACGTTGGGTTGGGATGAGAACCAAAAGCCTGGCCAATCATGTAAACCCATCTCCTACCTAAAAATACAAAAAATTAGCCAGGCAATCGTGGTGGTGCACCTGTAATCCGCAGCTACTTCTAGGGCAGGCTGAGGCAGAGAACATTTCAACCCAGGAGTGGAGTGCAGTGCGCTGAGATCTCATGCCACTGAACTCTATGCTCTGGTGGCAAACAGAGCAAGACCAGTCTCAAAAAAAACAACAAAAAAAAAAAAAATTACTAGCCGGGCTGGGTGTTGCCTGGGGCCAGATGTTTTGGGTGGCCTGAGGCGTACGGGAAGATCTTCTCTGAGCCCTGGAGGGTCAAGGCTGATGAGCTGGATCCTGCCACTTCAGCTTTTCCGCCTGGGTGAACAGCAAGAACCCTGTCCTCAAAAAAAAAAAAAAAAAGAAAAAAGAAAAGCAAAAGAAAAAACGAAGTAGAACGAAGAAGAAGAAAACAGTAAATAACTACACATTAATGAATGTGAAAACGCTGATATAAATAGTTACATCCTAGAAAAAAATAAGAGACCCAAACTGGCCAAACAAAGAAATAGAGTTCAAATTTGAAGTAACCAGTAAGTATGAAAAACACATGAAATGATAATCAGACATTCTACATCAGACATTAAAAAATAATTAGCAAAGGTTCTGATACCAGAACACTACAACAGATCGAGCATAGCATTTCCCTCTACCTACATCAAAGACTATAAAAATAAAATAATGAATCTTAATAAAAGTATATTCTTCACAATAGCAATAAAAGATAAAGTATTAATAGTATTAATTAAACCAAAGAATCAGAGACTCCATGTAGTAAAACTATAAAAGTTCTAATAAAGCATAGAAGATATCTGAATAGAATGGCGAGGGTATATGTCCAAGTTCTTGCTAAAACTCTGAAATTATCGAACGATGTCAGTACTCCCAAATAATTTTTTTTTTTTTGGATTGGAGTCTCGAATGTGGTCCCAGGCTGAGGTGCAGTGCGCACGATCTCCCACTCCATGCAACCTCACCCTCCCAGGTTCAAGCATTCTCCCTTGCCACCCCGTCACCTCCTGA